CGTATTTCTTCCTCATTATTAACAATCTGACGCGCCTGAAGCTCTCATGGTGCGCTAAAAACCATGGCTTGGAGGGCTGCAAACTGACGGGATAATTTGGGCCGCGCAGTCAGTGCAGCGTGCCCTGTTGTGTGGAGTGGCTGACCGGCGGGCTGAGAGTCAGGCTGCACTGGCTCCTGTTTAATGTGGTCGTTATGATACTCCCACGTGAGCGGGATCCTAGCCAGATGTTATTGTGGAGCGCATAAGAGGAGCGGCCAGTTGGTTGGTTAGTAGCCCAGTCACGCGTGGTGGCATGCATAGAAGTGGTCTCGGTCACAAAAGTCAGTTGCGCGTTCCCCCATCTCTGGTCTTCTTGTTTTTATCTTGGCACCTGGCACAGGTAGGGCAGTGAGGAGAGGGTTAGGTAGATACTGCGTGAGTCTACATTCACGATAATGCAGCGTAAGTCACCAAGTTTGTCTTCTTTGTCGAACTGTCAACAAAACAATAAGTAGATAGACCGTGTGCCATGCTATGGATGCGGATGTGACTAACAAGCTACGTTGCTTCGTTGGTCTCAAATTGGGCCACGCTTGCACGTGACACGTGTTAAGAGAACACAAATCGCTAGCTGCTTCTCTCACACGGCGTGAATCAAATTAGTGAGATAATCCAGCGCAAATATCCTCTGATACAATAAACCAAGACCTAGCAAATTCTGGCCGCCAACTTTTCTGAGGCTAAAGCCACAACCACTCCTTACAATGACCCTATTCGCATTTCTCGGTTTTCTGTTATCAGCTAAAATAAAGTTCGGTAGATATGCGCAAAAAGACCCACGTTTCACGCCGTCATCTACTGTAGCTAACTTTACCCCAACCGGCTTGCTAATGGCACAAGATAGGGGTATGACAGAGGAAACAAAGCCGGTTAAACATGTATGTTTCCCGCATTAACAAATGTGAATAGCCAAGTCGTGGCTTATAAAGCTCACGAAATGAGTAATGCCAATGGAGACGATCAAATCAATGCAATTAAGTATAATTGTAATGGTTTAGTTGTTTAGGTGTCAGCTTGAAGACAAGTCAAAACAACCCAACTAGCGGGGAGCTGAGCGAAAGAATAACAACACTTAATAGAGCATTCTAGGCGCGGGTCTTCGACGCCTGCCTTGGAAATATCGCATGCCACGTCACGACACCGTTGGTTGGCTGGCAATAAGGCTGACTCAACAAGCACAATGGTCACAACTACCATTGACTTGCTTATCTGTTATTGCTCGCCTTGATTGCAGTAATGCTGTGTAGACTGCACAAAATCCGAGGTCCGGTGGCAGACCTTCTAGCTGAAAACATCGTGGATCACCAATTCCTAATGGTAGACCCGAAATATCGTGCCAACAGTCATAACCGGCGACTGGGACATTAAGCAGCCGGAGCCGAGTCCCAACCCCTGAGCCCTGGCAACCATGGTCAATTGTTGCCTATTTTCTTCGTTTAGAGGAGCAGAGGGAACAGCTGGAAAACTTATGGGATAAATGCACGCACCAATGCTCCAGCTAACAATATGACTATGCAGAGAACGTTTCAAGGAGTTCCGCGTCTAATTACGTGGTACAAAATAACTTCCTTAGGCAGAACGGTGTGCGGATAGTATAGCGTCTTCTGTCCTGCGACGGGGTATGTGCCGAAAACGAGATTAATGAAAACTGTCGCACTAGATGACAAACTTCCTTGCCCACCCGGTAGCTGATAGAGAAACTGCACTTCACTTCCTTCCCTTCCCAAATAACGAACTGCCTATGTACTTTAATGAATCATG